GCTCGCCAATCAGAGGTTCACTTAAATTCTTCGCTAAGAGAATCTTAGTGGAGTATTCTCCAAAAGAATCAAGCATTTATAAATGATCATCTGTGGGGCGAATCAACACTGAGCCTGTAATAGGAGTGACTAGTCGTTCGTCGGGCGCCCTTCAGAGCGCCATTAACGGCTAGTCGCTCCATTATCTGAGCACACCTGAGCAAAAGCTAGTTATTCTCTTTTAATCGCAAGAAAATGTAATATCATTTCTATATATTTGTTTATATTACCTTCTTCCAGTCATAGTGCAAAGAAATTTCATGAGTTAAACCGTCTGTTGGAAAGCAAATGCAAATAATGGAACAGTAAGCCAGAAATAAGGCAATGCGAGCAGGCTTAGATGCCAATCATGTCCCATTGACTTAAACGTGAATTTGGATATTAGGAATACTTTGTGACGTGGATGTCGGTGTCGGTGTAAGTATGTGCCTGAATGGGTTGATCTTGTTCTACCTTACACCTACACCTCATACCCACTGTGGAGAAACCTCAGATATAGTTTACGCTAGTTATATAGTCGACTCTGTAATCCAGCTTACACACTTGAATACGTTACTCTCCTAACCATTACCAGACCACAAGCTCATATTATTTCATATCACTCAATGTTCAATACACCGAAAACATATTGTTTCCTCAAAAAAACTTACCCTGATTGTAAAATTTTACCGGTAAACTTCCAGCGATACAGTAAAGAGCCGGATGCTCTGATACCGATTTAGGCTCACCAACTTCTCTAAAATATCGTCATTTTCTCAAAAAACCATTTCTTTCACTAAAAAAAATCACACTCAAAATTTTGAAAAACCGACTTCGCATTCGGATTCTTCGACACCGATTTACTTCGGTCAACATTTTGAACATCTAACATTCGATCAAAGACTCAGAATTCTGGTCATGGCATACCTATAATAAAGTTTCATCAAAACGCTTGAAAAGGTTAAAACAAAAAGCTCATTTCTGATTGGTCGCCTTTCTAACCAATGGGAAGGTCGGATA